CAATTTTGTTTATCTTTTCAAAGAATCAGTTCTTGGTTTCATAGATTTTTTTTTTTTCCCTGTTTTTGTCTCTAATGTGTCTGCTTCCAGTCTGATCTTTATTATTTCCTTGATTCTACTAACTTTGGGCATTGTTACTTGGTTGGTTTTTAGTGCCTTTATGTGTAAGGTTAGATGGTTTGAGATTTTTTTGGTTTCCTTGAGGTAGGCTTAAATAGCTTTAAACTTTTTTTTGAGGTTTTCTTTTGCTTTGTCTCAAAGATTTTGAACTGCTTTGTTTCCATTTTCATTTGTCTGAATGTACTTTTTTTTTTTATTTCCTTTTTGATTTCTTTGTTGACACCTTGGTTGTTTGGTAGCAAGTTTAGCCTCCATGTATTTGTGTTTTTGTCTAGTTTTTGTAATTGATTTCTAGTTTAAAACCATTGTAGTCAGAAAAGATACTTGATATGATTTCAGTTTTCTTAAATTTATTGAGATTTGTTTTATGGCTTAATATGTAAACCTGGAGAATGTTCCATGTATACTTGAAGAGAATGTGTGTTCTGCTGTTCTTGATGAGGTGTTCTGTGTATATTCAGTCCATCTAGCCTAATGTGTACTTAAAGCTATTTGTTCCTTGATTGATTTTCTGCCTGGATGACCTATCTATTGATGTAAGTGGATTTGTTAAAAGTTCCCTAGTATGTTCACTTTTAAAACAGCCTGTATGTGCAATTTACTTTGTAACACAGGTACAGCCCACTAGAGCAGTGTTGTACTTCTTTGGTAACTTTATAAAGAGGGTAATTTGGGGCCATTTGTTTAATACCTAACAGATAAGTAATTAATTATATAGTGGCTTCTACTGCAAGTCACTATGTCTTTTTTTTTTTTTAAAGTAAGCTCTATACTCAGTGTAGAGCTTGAACTAATGACCCCAAGATCAAGAGTTGCATGCTCTATGACTGAGCCAGACAGGTGCCCCAGCAAGTTACTGTGTCTTACAGGGGATATGGTAGTGAGTGGGAATTAGCCCTTTCCCTCAAGGAACCAAAGTCATGTGGCATATAAGACATGTATACCTACAAACCCTACAAAAGAAAAAGCATGCTATACATGGTATTGGAGGTGCTCATAATAGGGAGAGCCAGAGCTAGGTCAGTCAGAAAAAGGACAGCAGTAAAGAGATAGGCCTCGAAGGATGAGTGGAATTTCAATAGTGTGAAACTAGACCATTAATTCATGAGGTTCCCAAAGGGGTATCTGACCCCGATCTATGGGCATTTTACAGATGGTTTATAGGAAATGGTTTAATTGAAAACGTTAGACTAAGAGATTGATGTTTTTTAAAAACTCAAAACAAGAATCAAAATTTCAAAAATTCATTTCTTTGTTTTTTTCTCTAGGTTTTAAAAAAGTTAAAATAATTCTGGCATAGCAGGCATCTTATATTTATAAAAGCATTATTTCTTGAAATTGTATTCTGTAAGCTTTGATGGAAATGTGTGTTTGGACTATTTTAAGTACTGTACCATGGTTCTTTACTTTCCATAGTATATAGTACATAATTTTTTGTGTCATATACTACCACAGTATATACTGGAATATTTTTGAAGATACACTAAGGAAGCAAGATTCCCTTCTGGAGTTCTGTGTTGGCTATGACACTTCTACAAATATTTAAAAATAAATTTTAATTTTTATTACATATTTACATAATTCTCATTTGATCCTTAGGAAAACACTGAGAGACAGGGCAACAAATACTCTTGTTTCATGGGAAGTAAACTTGAGGGTTTTTTTTGTTTTTTGTTTCTTAAATATTTATTTGAGAGTGAGAGAGAGAGAGAGCATGAGAGAGGAGAGGGGTGGGTCAGAGGGAGGAGAAGACTCCCCACTGAGTGGGGAGCCTGAAGTGGGCCTGGATCCTGAGATTCCCAAGGCAAATGCTCAACCCTCAACCAGCTGAGCCACCCAGGTACCCCTAAACTTGAGGTTTTGAGTGGTGACCAGCCAGGTGGAAAGTAGTGGAAACAGTAGATACAAAATCTAGTGTTGTGTGTTGCTCCTAGAACTAAGTATTTAGGTTAATGCAGTTCTCATAACTGGAAGGATAGCAAGTACTTAAGCTGTTTGGTTTTTAAAAATTATAATATTTTATCTTAAAGCTTTGTCTCTGATTTCATAAGGAATGTGCGCTATTACTAGATATCACTCCTGAAACATATCATGGAAATGATGAGCTTTTTGAGATGGCGATACTTAGAATTATCCTGTCATATTGTTGGAGCACTGAGGAAAGAATCACCCTTTTCACATGGATATAATGGATTTCATACAGCATTTGAGCATTATGCACTGAATACATACGTAATCTTTTCCCTCTAGGTGGCCCTCTGAGTCTGTATAGATTTGCACTACTGAGAAATGTGTGCTCTTCTACCTTTATTTTGCCCTGCTCTGGGGCTATGCGTTACATTTATACAGTAATGAAATATGAAATCCATTGGATATGTAACAGCAGGCACTCAGTTTAAAACACATTTGGGAAAGGAAATAACAAAGCAAGTTAGAACAAATATTTGTTTATTACATGCCCAAAAACTTTGGGGGAAAGGAGGAGAGACAGACAAGTGAACTGTAGTGCCTTTGCACTGTAACAGGGTCTAGTAAGTAAAGGTTTATTAGATTTCTACAACATACTTCATTTTCTTGGACCTAATCATATGAACTCTGTTTTGAGATCATTTTCTTGAACAAAGGAGTGGTAAATTATCTGTGTCTTTTATGTTCCATAGAAAACTTGGTTTTAAAAATGGATTAGGGCACTTGGGTGGCTCAGTCTGTTGAGTGTCTTACTCTGGGTTTTGGCTCAAGTCACCATCTCAGGGTTGTGGGATGGAGCCCTGCATTGGGCTCTGTTCAGCAAGGAGTCTGCTTGATATTCTCTCTCTCCCTCTGCCCCTACTCCCACTCTCTTGCTCTCTTTCAAATAAATAGATCTTTTAAATAATTTTTTAAAAAGAATTAAAATAATTACTTATGATTCTGAAAATTCCCAACATGAAGAAATGCTTTTGAAGATGTTGATCACAATTACAGAACAGGAAGTGATCATGTGATGGAATGACATTTGACAAACTGGACTATTATGAAAATTAATATTTCAGATCTCTGTGTTTATAAGCAAGGATCAGCAATTTTGTTTGGAACCATTTTTGTGTGTCATAACACACAAAGTTTGAGTAATGCATAAATGTTATCCCTGGAGAGAGAAGGGAATACAAAAGAGATGCATTATAACATTCAGTTAACCAACAAGGAAAAAAGTTATTTTCTCATCATTCTCTCAAAGTATTAAAAGAATTAAATTATGATAGTGCTATAGTACCAGAAGAAAAGAATTTATTATTCTTTCTAGAATATTCTTTCTAGAATTATTATTCTATACATCTAAAGTGTACTTGTCATTGCTCTCTTTTATTCCCTGACCCTTTTATACTTTGTCCCACTGTAAGATGGCTTTTGCCCTCACCACTATGTTAGAAGAACTTAGGGCTGTCTGGATATTTTTTATCTTCCACCCTGGGCAGCTCTTCATTCTTTAATGTGGCTTTCTTCCCATGGCACCTGTGGAATAAGTCTTTGGCTTTTCCCATTCCTCTTTTAATTATTCCTTGTTATTGTAGGCACCTCCTAAATATTGGTGTCTTAAAAGACTTTATTTGGTCCTTGACACTTTTTCTTTTTTTCCTCCATGGACCATTCTATTTATTTATGTCAGACAGAGTTGTGGCTGTCACTGATGTGGCATTGATTTTCAAGTCCTTGTTTCCTGCCCATTCCTCTCTTGAGCTCCAAAACAAATCTTCACCTGCCCACTGTACCACTCTACAGTAGGTATCCAGTAAACATCTGTGGAATGAATGTATGAATGTTTAGAACTTAGCGTCTCCTTTCCCCTCTAAGCCAACCTGTCTTGTCTATTCTCTGTCTTCTTGAAACAACTTCAGTGTATCTAAGCTTGACTTGAAAGTCTTTGATTCATTCTCCTTTTCCTCATTCTATATTTACTCCACAAGTATCAGTCCCTATCCAGGATTGGGAAAAAGACTGACTTGGGTGCTGCCCCAATGTTCCAAACCTGCTTTAATTGCATTTCAGGCAGGCTTTATTTAGACCTCATCAAAATGCAGTATAAGTTCCCTATGTCTCTTCCTGCCCCTCCCAAGTTTGTAGGCATGTAATAAATAAATATTCTAATTTATTATTTCTTTTCCCAAACTTACATTAAATTGGCTGATGTTACGTATTGTTGCACTTCATAGTTTATGCATCTTGAAACATATGCTAATTGAGTTTTTTTTTAACCTTACTCTTCCAAATAAATCCCGAAGATTTAAGTGATAAATCAGTATGGGTGGACAGTTCCCAAAAGTTTTTCCGTGTAAATCCTTTAGGACTTCACTGTACATAAAAAGTAAAATGGTATACAGAGTGAGAGAGGATAGCGGAAGTATCTTTAAGAACATGAGTAGTGCTTGATACATTAAATGATAAAATCATATCATTTGATTGTAATAGGGTTAGTAGTATATATGTAACCAACATAGAAATAGATAAGGTATTATTCTTTTTGAATTGTCTTTGGTGGTAAATTAATAAATTCTGAATGTCTCTTGTTGTGTTTAAACCATTCTCTGTAATATCTTAAATAAGTAGGTACAGTGGGAAACACAACCTTTTGCACTTGGTTAAGAAGTTTTAAAATTTATTTTTGGTTTGGCATAAGCATAAGTACCTCTTCTGCATTGGGGATAAAATGGAAAAGACTGTGTTAGGAAAATACTTTAATACAATATGGTGTGCCAGTGGGTTGGTGGCTGATGTTCTTGACCTTAGGAATCATGACTATAGTCTAATCCTTTTATCTCTGGGTAAGGTTGAGATTAATGAAAGAGTTGTTGAAAATGTATAGATTACCACTTACCTTGTCCCACTTTTTTGTGCCTCCATAGGTACATGGACTATACCGCACAACAGGTGCTAGTTTTGAGAAAGCCCAACAAGAATTTGCAACAGGTGTGATGTCCAACAAAACTGTCCAGACTGCAGCTGCAAGTGCAGCTTCAAGTGCAGCAACTAGTGCGGCTCAGAATGCTTTCAAGGGTAACCAGATTTAGAGAGCCCTCCTAAAACACACTGATACCTTCCGACTGTACTTTTCTCTAGTTACTGTATTCTATAAATATTTTTATGTTCAAAACAGTACACATGGCATGTATATTTCCTGTTCACTTGTGCATGGGCTAAAACCAGAAAAACTTTCTTGTCTTATTACTTACCTAGCAATTTAATATTTTGGTGCCCCCTGCAGAAAAAAATATCACATGCTAAATAAATATTCTCCATATTTTTTGGGGGATGAATGTTCAGCAAATTATTTAAGTGTTGACACACTGAAATTCATATGGTACTTATGATTAAAAATGCATTTAGTACTAGCTGCAGTCTTTCTTTCAAGAATCTTAGACTTAAGGATTACATATTGGAGCATTAAAGTGATACTTCATTCTGTTTTCCCCATTTATATTGGAAGAAATAGGCCGTCAGGGACTTAGGGATTTTAAAAATTGGCTTGCTTTTTAGCAGTTTTAGTCACCAGTGAAGAGCCTGTGTGCATTTTGTAGTAGATCATGTAAATTTTATCCTTTTATTTTTGTTCCTTTTTTCTTTATTAGAGTAGTTGATATTTTGATATCAATCTCTGATCTTGCATGGGCACCACATTTCTTAAAAGAAATAGTATTTTGGCTTCTGCACTGCTTATGGTTGTAGGATTAGGGAGTGCTGGTAGAATCAAAGAAGTGGTTTTCTGCAGTAGTTTTTTTTTTAATAAAAATTTATCAGGATGCGATGTGAGAACATAATGTGCAGTGCATTATCCAAAAAAGGGTAGATAATAAATGGAATAGAATGTAGTAATGATAATACTGTTGTGTTTTTTTTTTTTTTAATTTTCAGTATTCGTATCATAGTAGAATATTACTGTATGGAAACTTTGGTATATTCTTGTGGCTACTCATTTTAACTGAATTGAGATTGTGTTTGGCAGCTCTTTTTTGGGGAGTGTGTAATTTTTAACAGAGGTATTAAAGTCTAGACTAACTCCTTATCCAAAAAGAACATACAGTATTTCAGGGAATTTTTCTTTTAGCCTCTCATCTGTAGTGGGATTAAAAAGAAGACGCTGTTGGTTCACATATACTTGAATCCCTAACAAACCTCAGTCTTTCAATTTTTGAGACAGACTGAATACATTAAAATTTTTCAGCAATAGAAGAAACATTTAACCTGCACCAAACAAGAAAATACAAATATAGTTAAATGCATTAATTATGACTACAACCACATTAAAATTGCTACTATGCACCATAGGATATAATTCTTACAGTATACTTGGTTTGAAACTTTGAATCGTTTTTAATACTGATTAAATGACTCAAATGTCATTTATATACTGTGTAAAGTCATTATATACTGTGTTTTGGAAGTCATTAGCTACTTAAGGTTGCAGAATAATCAGTGATTTATTCAACTTGACTTTAAAAAGGATAGTCTATTGGATTATATTATTTGAGACTGCAGAACCTTTTTAAAAAGAATCAAATGGTTAAATCACTTTGTTTTCCCCAAATCTGGAGATGAATGAATTTCATGGTGGGGGTGGGATGATGAGTTCTCACTATTTATGAAATTTAAACTTTGTGTGATACTAGGTCACATGGATTCATCTAGATGGTGTTTACATTTGGTTTATTTGGGATTTATTGAAGTAATATACTTAGAAGATATTTCCTTTATTCTGATTAAAATAGGATTCAGAATATGAATTTAAAGTTGTTTTTATGAATATTTCTGATCAGTGGTAATCTCCCTGTTTTCTCAAATAAGCCAGTTCAAGTTTGTCAGATTCTATAATCTTACTGAAAATCTGTTTTATCACAGTGTGCTTTATTGAGTGTGTATTTTACAAACATCAAAACATTAACCACAAAATATAATAGGAGTACTTATGTTCATCATTAATTTATATCTCAAGTCCATTTCTCTTTTTTTTTCAACTACAAATGAATATAGAGACTTGAAAAATACTGAGATACTTTCCTTCAAAAATAGGAAGGCTTCTGTCTTGTAGAAGTCCCCAAAGGTAGCATTGTTAAGTAGCAAATAATTAAAAACAACAGTACCTTTTGGTGTGTGGATAGAGATGTTTTAAAATCTATTTCCTTGGGTTCATACACGCTGAGAGAAAATTGTTTTTTAAAAACAAATGTGCATTAAAATGATGGCAATACTAACAGTTTGATAAGGTATAGGGCTTTTAAATTCTTACATTCTCTATTCTCCTAACAATAATGGGTAAATGGTCACATTTTCCGGCAAGAGATTGGCATTTGTTAATATTTTATATTCAGTACTAACATGGCCCAGTATCACAGTCATGAATTGGTCTTCATTGGTGTAAGCATTCATGTCTTTTTTCAGTTTGTAATATTAAATTGTGGCTATTTTATTTCAAACTAAAATTTGAACACTGGAAAATCATTGCTCAGTGATTTGTAATTTGGGACTTGGATTATTTATCTAGGGATGTTTGTATATTTTGTCAGTGAGTAATATTGCGCTGCCATCATAATGAGCGTCATGGTTCTCTATAAATGCCCTCCATCTGTCCCTCTAATGTTGCATGTTTTCAGTGGTTTGGAAGTTTTGTATATTTATTGTATTAACACAGAGTGTCATAAAATAAAATGCTGTTTACTGGATGTTAGTTTGTCTAATTTTAAATACGATATTAGCATTTCAGAGGTAGAGATTATGCTGTGGGCTTACTGTATATAGAAATGTCACATTGATTTTTAAAGAATCTTTGTATAATTCTATCATGTGCTGAACAAAATAAATAATATATAAAAGGCTTCATTAAAAACAGAGCAACATGAAATGACAATTTTTCTGTTGGATTAGACTTTTTAGGTGATACAACACGAGCTTCACTCATATTTTGATCACTTTAAGGTCAAAATACACATACCATCTAGAAGTTAGTGAGATTCAAAATGGAAAACCTGTTTTGTGGCTCAGGTTTTTCCTGTGCGTTAAAATGGATGCCTCTGTACTAGTATTGTATTGATTAGCTTAAACTTGTGTTCTGTTTCTTAACCTGTTGCTATTTTATGTACTGATGAAGGTACCTATTTGTGTATTATTGGATTTTCACTTGGGTTATCTAAAGAGGATGTAAAAATCTAAAATGTTCTTGGTGAATCTTATTTTGAGCAATAAGTGTTAAAATAGGAACAGCATTTTTAATTTTCTGGGTGTTATCTAAATGAGTTTGGATTTTCATTGGATATATCTTCTATAAATCGTGTTGAGCTAATGTATAGTTCACACTTTATGGGGAATTTATGTTAAATTGAGTTTATTAGTTTCTATAATTTATTTGTGCTAGTATAATGCTCTCATAGTTATTGCTATATCTTTTTCTGAAAATGCTGACACATTAATATTTAATTTTATGTCTTTACTGATAAAAATCTATGTTCAAACTGTTTATATGCTGAGTTTGTAACAGTTTTGCGTTATTTCCCCCTGTTGGAATTACTGTGGCCATCAAACACCATTTCACTGTATTTCCTTCCATTTTTCCTTTAAAGAAAATGTTTAGAGGGATTTTTTGATTCCATGTGATTAAGACCTTTAGAAGTGAAATAAAAGTGGTTAATGTAAAAATAATGGTTAAAAATAAAAAAATGCCTTACTTTGATAGATTTTCAAGTACCATAGTATAAATTATTTAGAGTAGAATAATATATTGTAACACATTAGAGTTGTTTTAAATACTTGTTTATTAAACTAAAGAGTTATATCTCAATGGTCAAATATTATGGAAAGTGAAGTATTTCCACTAGAATTTTAGGGTACAATTTATAAAACAGCAAGCTTTTTGTATTGATGGATGTTTTAAAAACCTTACATTAGGGCTTTGTCACAGTACATAGCTAGAAAGAAATCTATAGAAATTTCCTAAGCCAGACATTGCCACTAATCTGTACTAGATAAATATCTTTAAAGCTTCTAGGAAAATAGGGAAAGACGGATCTCTAGTGTTCTTACCCTTCCTTTTGGCTTCATATTTACAGTTAATGTACAGTTTAACTTTGTGGTTTTGGTAAGACAAAGCCTTCAACCTATAGAATTTTCTTTAGCACTATTTATATTTTCAAATGGCAAGGGAGATGGGAGCCACCGTGTATCAGTGTAATGAGTGTTAAATTTTATGTTTATCTAAATTTTGATTTATTTTTCAGCTTATTTATAATTTTTTTTTTTTTTTTTTTTTTTTTTTTACACTTAAGTGATGGTTACACCCCATGTAGGGCTTGAACTTAGGAGCGGGAGATCAGGAGTAACATGCTCTGCAGCCTGAGCCAGCCAGGTGCCCCATCAGCTTAGATCTTTCTGGGCTTGTATGGCTGATTGTGTAGTTAAAACCCTCCTGCTGCTAAAACCCATTTTATCTTTTCTCTAATAGGACCAAAAAAAGTTCATCCTCTTCAACCTAGTAATGTTTCATTTACTGTATAAAGTACTCTGAATATTATTTCCTCTACATTTATACTGTTACAATTTGTAGACTCATAGCATGCAAAATTTAAAAAAAATTCTTATTTATAGCCCTTACATGGAATCCTAGAATTCCTCTAGAACTCCTTTAATGTTTTGTAGGCCAGTGATTCTCAACATAAATCATAGTTGTGAGTAGTTGTTACTGGTGACAGTTTATAGTATTCCTCAGCTTTATTCTTCACCAAAAATCACTGTCCTTTAGCTGGTCATAGTAGTTCTTACCATATTATAGCCTACACAAAAAGTCAGTCCACTGGTCATACACATTCCTCAGACTAATTTTTTCTAGTTTGAAAGTCATATATACCTGTTAGAAAACAATTAGAGGGACGCCTGGGTGGCTCAGTTGGTTGGACGACTGCCTTCGGCTCAGGTCATGATCCCGGAGTCCCGGGATTGAGTCCCACATCGGGCTCCCAGCTCCATGGGGAGTCTGCTTCTCTCTCTGACCTTCTCCTCGCTCATGCTCTCTCACTGTCTCTCTCTCAAATAAATAAATAAAATCTTAAAAAAAAAAAAGAAAACAGTTAGAAAATAATGAATGAGGAAAAAAATAATATGTAATTCTATCATCTAGGGATATCACTGCCAATGTTGTAGTATTTTTCCATCCTTTTTTCTAAGCATACATTTTTTATAGAACTATGGGATATAAAACTGTGGATTTTTATTTTTATTTTTATTTTATTTTATTTTTTTTTTAAAGATTTTATTTATTTATTTGACAGAGAGAGATCACAAGTAGGCAGAGAGGCAGGCAGAGAGAGAGGAGGAAGCAGGCTCCCCGCCGAGCAGAAAGCCCGATGCGGGGCTCGATCCCAGGACCCCGAGATCATGACCTGAGCCGAAGGCAGTGGGTTAAGCCACTGCCTTC